ACGTGGAGCATGTATGATTAGGCCCTTATAGTCAGGAAATTGCTTGTGCTGTGACATGAGTTTTATTTCAAAGGCTCTATATTGGGCATGTTAATGAATTTATTGCAGCTAGCTGTGATCTGTAACAATATCAATTGTCCTTTGTGCACTTCCCCGCAGAGCTCTGCAAACTGACACAGCCCTTGGATTCCATGGCTTAAGCTTTATCGCTCTCTAAATATATATTGCCTGAATTGCTATACATAGGTCTGACAAAACAATGGGAATCAAGGTACTCTATAGTTGACAAGTATGTCAGCATGAATTCACATCATAATGCTCTGACATCAGCTTTCTCCTGATTTTTCCTGCAATGGCCTCCCATATAACCGCATTGTTAAAAAAGAAGAAATTAAAGGAATACAGTTACAAGTTAAGCTTTAGAAACAGCATATGTGGCATGTTTTTGATTACCACAAAAAAACTATATCAACTTGTACATAAGTTTAAGGGGGGAAAAAAATAAAAGTGGGCACAGAATAAAAGAGTAAGCATTGTATGACTGCTCCATTGATGTACCCCATACCAACAAACTAGTTAACCATAGATAATGTCAACAGAGAATAAATAATAATAATAACTCGCAGACAGTTCAATAAATGAGTCATATGTTGATTCATAGGCCGCCCATAAGTGAACCACTAATCTGATTCAAACCGCTAAAATCATTGGTGAGTCTTTGAACAATTCATTAAGAGAACCGACTCATAAGCAGGAGCGTTTGTAGACATTCATCAGTGTAGGCTTCCCATCAAAAATGTTTCCATATTTTGACACTCTTTTCGATATCATTTTGGATATGTGGATTTAAACTCTTTACCTGCAGTACAGAGTTTGTTGCTCGTTTACAAACTGCGAGGTCATTCGCGAATTGCTAGTTTGGATTCCGAAACAGCTGACAGAAAATGATTACTTAAGTATTATCAAGGAAATGACTTTCAGATCGGTAATCTCCAAAATTAGACAAATATTTATCAAAAATATTTTACCGGCGCTCGTTCCTCAATAAAACGGGTATAGTGACACCTCTGTTCATAAGAGTCATTTGTTGGTGAATCGAACAACGAAGGACACGTGCATGATTTTGCATCCAGCTGGTGAGGACCAGAGCATGTGAGCGAAGCTACGTTTTCCGCTCTATGGACGTGCGCTCCACTCAGTCGCTCTAACCGCCCAAGCAAGCGCTCCGTTAATATTCCGCTCACGCTCGCCGTAAACCAATTCCCGCTCAGATCCCGCTCCGTTCTGTAAAGAACAAATTTGCGTGCATTATATTAGATTATAAATTACTGCTGCCTATATCTAGCCTACATTCTGTAGGACTACCTATTGGTTCGGGTCAGTTTTTTTTTAAATAATATTTTAATAGGCCTAAGTGGTGTAGGCTAATATCTTCTGTACTCTGTAGTTCTGTATGTAGGCCTATATACAGCTGTGTGTTAGCTTAGGTCTACAGTTTAACTGAGATTATTTAATAACTACAGAGCTCCGAATATAATTTGAATGAACAATTCGTTTCTACGACGTCAGCAGGTTTTATATATTACCACTCCGCTCACTCTCCGCTCCGCTCACATGCTCTGGTGAGGACTGATGAGAGACGACGGTGAAAAGCGGGGGAGGAAACACTGTGACCTGGACCCCCTATGTAAAAATTATGCAAATACAATTGAACTTGAAAAATATTTTTTGCTGGTCATTAACACCACGATTGACTCTGGGAGTGGCGCAACTCACTCATTTCCATTATGTGACCACCAGAGGTGAGTGTTATTTCATATAACAGTTTATTGTTGAAATTGGACTACTTACATTTTAGATACAATATCGACAGTTGCTTCGCCTCTTTTTGCTGTGCCGACATATTTGCAAACAAAGCCACAGCAGAATGACCGTTGCAGGGTTGCCAGGCTTTCACAACAAAACCTGCCCAAAACTAGCCCAATTGCGTTTCGAGGGGGGTCCCCCGGTAAAAATCATGCTCCAGGGGGTAAAATACACGTTTTGTGGCGGGGTTCCCCTGGTAAAATTCACATTTTAGGGGCTAAATATCACGTTATTGGGGTCGCGTCAACCTGCAGACATGAAAAACAACCCGCGGCAACAGTGTTAAAGTAGCCCAATTCCGCGGGAAAACCGCAGACTTGGCAACACCATAGACTGGGCAACACTGGACCGTTGAGCGTCCCAGTTTCATTCCTGAATGAATCATTGCTTTGAACGAAGCGGTTTCGTGACTGGTTCAATTATTCACTTTTCGCCACCTATTGGCGGAACGAGCACCGTAAATAAAGGGGTCATATGATGCGATTTCAAGTTTTCCTTTCTCTTTGGAGCGTTACAAGCTGTTCGTGAATAGATAAGATCCCTGCACAAAATAATGATCTTTTAAAAAAGCATCATATGACCCCTTTAAATGATTAATAAAAAAATAACTTAATACATATATATGTTTATGCTTAAGAATAAAAAATGATTCACTTTTGACTAAAATATTCTTTTAAAACTTATATTTAGCCTGTAATATTCCTAAGATGTGTCTTGAAGTAACGTTCTCATTTAGAAAGGATGCTACAGTGCTAATTAACATTTAGATTGATTAGGAAGTGTATGAGCATGCATTTTCCTTGCAGCATATTATTTTGCATGTCTAAATGAAAAATTAATTAGTTTTGTTTTTAAATGTTTGCGACCAGAATTAAATGAATGTTACTTAAGCAGATTACGTCAAACAATACTCAGGAGAATCTCAGTATTCAAGAGAGATAAAAGAATATCCTTAACCTTGAATCAGCACACTTATGTCGCATTGCAATTGGCTCAAAAATTAGATGTTTTTTTCTTCTTTCCAGACCCTCTCAACGCCTTGGAGGGGAGAGTCTCTTCTCTTTGTAAATTATCTTCCTGTTTATTCTCTGTTTGATTATGACACAGGCCGTTAACCTTTTTGAGCTGGAGCACAGCTGCTTCACAAGCCATCAAAGGAGAATCTATTAACTATGGCCACAACACCGATGGAAATGCTGTTCTCAGTACTGTTGCCCTCTGAATCTCCGGGGATATAGCAGTCAAAAGTACATACTCGAGTCTGAGGAAAATGAGACTCAGTCTTCATGCTGATGAGGAGAGGAGCTCACAGGAAACACATAAGAGGATATCAAATCTCTCGCCAGCTCTCCTGGACCACACCGTTCCTTTCTGAGGGTGGGGGTTACTCTTCAAAGCACTTCTGTTCTGTCCTGTGACTGACATAATTACCTGTGCTGTATGAGTAGACTGAATGAAAGCAACAATGGAGACATGGTTCAGGGAAATGGCAGTCAAAGAAAAGTTTTCTGTGTGTGTGTCTGTGTGTGCTGATTCTGAATGAAGCTGCTGCCATTCTCACATCTCTGTTTGTTATAAAACATTATCATCTAATATTAAGTTAATTTAAATCAAAATTATTTATTTTGTTAACTTTATTAGCCAAGGGGCTGACAGCAGACAGTCAATGGATGGAAGTTGTATGGGAAAATATGAACAAATATTGCAAATGCTCCTAACATGCTTTTAAATTTATTATATCTAATTTACAATTTTTTATACTGTAGCATCTTTTAACTTTGTTAAATATCCACTTGGTGCCATGTTCAAATGCACTAACTAAAATTGAAACAATGGCGCCACCAAGTGGATAACAACTGAACTGTTCTCAAAATGTTTTAGAAACCGAAAATAAATCCCAGTGGGGGAAAAAAACTGAATATAATATAATATAAACAGTTCAGAACTGTAGTAAGCTTTATCAGATTTTTTAATGAATGAATGTTAATAATATTATCTTACATATAATTAGGTTATTTTAAATATTATAAAGTAATATATTAATAGGATATTGTTTTTAATATATTGTAAATATATTTACAATTAAATTAAATTAAATTAAATGTGTATATAAAACTATGAACCACTTCTAAATGTAAACACTGCTCCCTAAACATACAAAACCATATATAAAACCATATATAAATTAAATTTTTAATTACACTGTGAACCAGCATATAGAATTGTGATCTTACCTAAATTCGTCAAATGAGTAAATAGTAAATGTTTTCAAAATTTCACTAAACTTACTTATGAATATCAATAATATTATCATACATATATTTAGATTATTTTAAATATTATTAAGTATCAGTTGGATATTGTATGTAATGTATTCTAACTATATATCAAATTAAATTTGTCTATATTTTTCTTGTTTTTTTTTCTTGCAAACCTGCATATATATATATATATATATATATGTGTGTGTGTGTGTGTGTGTGTGTGTGTGTGTGTGTGTGTGTGTGTGTGTGTGTGTGTGTGTGTGTGTGTTATCAGCTAAGGTCCCTGTTTTGCTTGTTTTATATAGCTTGTTTTATGTAGGGTATAAATTAAAACCCTGCTAAGCATCCTTGATGATAAAAAGTGACGTCACCATCAACTATTTGCAGGGGCATAGTGAGTCTCAACACAAACCATAGTAAGGTTAAAAAATACTAAAAAGCTCTTGTAGAAACTGCCTTAGTTTATACCTTATTGTCATATTTAAATGTTTATTGAATTGAGATCAGATAAGAAAAATAATTCTGTTACTATCCAAACTTAAAAACTGTATTGTCTCTTTCAGCAAGCCTTTGCGATGCACCACAATAATGAAGGAAGATGAAGAACAATCAGAGATGCTCAGCAGCGGGTTCACAGTGATGGTGCTATAGCCTGCTCAACCAATCACACTCTGGTATGTAAATGAGACAGGAGAGCATGTCTGCTGATTGGTCCTCCCCAGACTTGCCATTGCCCTCATCAACAGGCTCTCTTCCTTGTTGTTGTTGTGCAGTCACTGAGGTCCTGTGTGTGTGGGCACAGGGAGGAGCCGAGCGCCTCTTTCTATTGGTGGCTTCACAGCGAGGGGAGTCGAGGAGGAAGAGGCAGAGAGGAAGAGAAGAGCGAGTGGGCGGGATCTAGACCCAGGCTGGAGTAGAGCATCCCTGACCGCGGCTCGGCTAACGGCCAGAGAAGCGTCTCCAGACTGATGCTGAGTCAGGTACAGGTGGAGTCACATCCAGTTTGGCTTGGACCCTCCAGAAATCATGGAGGAGCTGGAACATACCTGTCCACTGCCACGAACGGTGAGATATATGTGTTTTGTTGGCGTCGAGGGCATCTGTGAACCGTTGAGGACCCCTTTCTCTTTGTTTTCAGTCTGTGTTTATCTGATTTTGTCTTTTTGTGCAGCTTTCTGAATGACGTTGAGCTTGTGAAACTGCTGTTTTGTACTGACTATCTGCGCGTTTGTTCATAATGCTGCTTTTAATCCTCTGCGTCTACCAGATATCGTTTTTAAGTGCGAGAGCCAGCGCTTTTGTGGGATGGTGCTGAGCTAATGTTACAGACATCATCCCGATTGCATTTAACAGCAGGTTGCCCTTCTGTGATGTTGCTCCTCCTTCTCACCTTGTACAGAATTCTGGGAAAGGTCTCCAGCATCCTTGGAAACACTGTCTCCGTTGCTATGGGAATGAATCGTGCATTGCTCCGTGGAGATTTTTCCTCCAATGAGTAATCGGATAGCACACACCTACATTGCATTGGATATGTAAATGCATATGTGCCAGCTGGGTCTGCTGTGAAGATGCTCTCACTGGGCATTTCCTGAACAGACAGATGGTCACTATTGTCACAAAGGTCACTAGAAGATTAACCCAGAAATTATTTTTTAACATTTCTGTAAAGTGTTTGGCCCAGAATGCATTTAAACAGCATCTGGTGCCTCCGCCCACATGTTTACTAAAACAGAACAGTAGTTGTCACATTAGGAAGATGCCACAAGGGTGATTTAAGTAACAGTAAGGTTTTAAAGGGACAGTTTCCCCAAAAAATGAAAATTCTGTCATCATTTAGTCACCCTCATGTTGTTCCAAACTGTATGAGTTTCTTTCTTCTGCTGTACACAAACGAAGATATTTTGAAGAATGTTGATAATCAAAAAGTTGCTGGTAGCCATTGACTTCCATAGTATTTTATCATATTATGGAAGTCAATGGCTACCAGCAACTGTTGGTTAACATTCTTCAAAATCTTCTTTTATGTTAAGGAAGTTATTCATACAGGTTTGGATCAACATTAGTAAATGATGACAAATTTTTCATTTTGATCACAATAAAAGCACAATTTCATTGGTCTGATATTGTGTGTTAACTTTTTCATTTTTGTTGTTTAATGAATTATTTTACTCTTTAAATTAAACAAAAACCCTTTAGATATAATATACAATTATTATTTGAATTGTACACTATTAAGCAAAAACCCATTAAAGGTAATATAATATAATGTAATATGATATATAACTTGAAGTGGTAAAAGATTTTATTCAACATAATGTTGTTGTTAAATAAGAATATTTTAAAGTTTTAAAGTTTAGCTGTTGGGAACAATAAAATCACATTTCAATGGTTTGATATTTTTGTATGTTAGATATTTTTGTACCTTTTTACATTTTTGTTATTTCATGAATTTAGCGTATATTATATATTATGCACATGTACTAGCTATTATATAATAATATAAAACATACTTCACAGTGTTTTTAAAAAGAGAATATTTCCCACTTCAAAAATTCAGAAAATTGACTTAAGCTTTAAATACATTTTTTTGATAACAAACCCGCATTCTCATCCATATAGAATGCGAGTATAGTGTCTTTCTGCACTTATAGACTGAAAAATGCACAAAAATAAAATATCCCTGCTACCCTGCCATACATTGAAATGCTAATTCAGAACCATGAGTTGTCACAGTGTCTGTAGGCCTATTGTTCTCTGTTTGTTATAAGCCACAAAGAAGTTTCAATAGATCGAAATATCCGTGTTATGTATGTCTGTGTCTATCTCCCACTTTGTGCTGCTGTGGACGAATGATTTGTCTTAAGTCAGTGACATTAGAGAACCCTCTACTGGACAAATCAATATCCGCTGTAAAGAGGCTGTTACACAGATCGTCTTGAAATCAATACGTCAGATAATAACCTCTATTCTTACAAAAAGGAAAACATTTTTGAGAAGGGTAAATAGGATATCATGTCAGCAGGATCTAGGCTTGTTTAAACAGTATTTTATTTGGGAAGCTGCAATGTCTATTTATTTCTCATCTCATCATTTCTCTCAAATCAATGCTTTCTTCAATCTTCTCTGCAGACTCTTATAGAGCCAGCCATATTTACCCCGGAGACGAGTTGTGAGTGTCGGGCTCCACACGAGAAGCTGACGGTAGAGCTAGCTCGACTCGGAATGCCTGGTCAGTCTGTACTTTCTCTGTTCAGTTTTCATAAAATGGAACATCAAGTTAAAAAATGACCTTTGTAATAAGATCATTCCTGTTAGGCTATAACCTAAAAAAATTAAATATACTCGTTTCATTAAGTACAAGACACTCAAGAGAGAAATATGCACTCAAGCTCTTAAACAGTAACTTAAATGTAACCTTTTTTTAAAGCTTGTAACTTCATTCATTATATCTTGATTACTTATATAATCACAATAAAATAAACAGGATCAAAACAAACCAGATACACACACACACACACACACACACACACACACACAGGTTGGGTTTCCATGTTTTATGGGGACAGTCCATAGATGTAATGGTTTATATACTGTACAAACGGTATTTTCCTGTCCCCTTGCCCTAATCCTACTCCTAAACCTACCCCTCACACAAATGTTTCTGCTATTTTAGATCTGCTATTCAAAAAACTTCATTTGGCCCCACTTTATATTAAGTGGCCTTAACTACTATGTACTTACATCAAAAATTAAGTACAATGTACTTATTACACACACACACACACACACACACACACAACCATTCAAAATGTTGGGGCTTAGTAAGTCTTTTTTTAAAGAAATTAATACTTTTAATAGTTTTTCTTCTTTTGAACAGTTTATTCTTCAAAGTGACCCAATATGCTTGAGCGGTATATGCTGTATATTAACATTTGTAAGTAAAATATTTTGCCCAATATATTAATACATACAATACATTTTGAGTACATGATGTTCAATTGTACTGTATAATTATTGGCACAATCCAAAGTAGTTGATTTACTAAAGAGTGACAAAAACACATGATAAACTGGCTGTGTAAGTGTGTAAAATGTTAAACATTTGCAAGTTCTTTTCTGGTAAAGAACAAGTTTATTTTTATCTTTTGGACCCATTTCACAAATCCCATCAAACATTGATGAGTTAAGCTACTTAAACTCAGGGTTCGTACGGTCATGAAAAACCTGGAAAAGTCATGGAATTTTAAAACACCAATTTCCAGGCCTGGAAAAGTTTTGGAAAAATAAATAAACCCAGAAAGTTTTGGAAAAGTCATTGAAATCTATTTCACAAAACTCTGTATAATAGAATTGTGTTTAATCAGGTCCTGAATTTCGGTGCGGGATTGCGCATAGGCAATATTGCATAGTTTTACTCATTCCCGCAGCTTTTGACTTTAAAATGATGGATAGTCACACGTTTATTCAATAGCCTATAGCATGTAGGTTTGATGAGTAAATAATCAAACCTACAGACTTCTGGACACTAAACACCGTCCGAGCCACTCTTAACAGTCGCGGTAGCACGGTCTCGTGTTGTTTCCACCAGTGTGGCAAATCTTTGTCATCACCATAATAATTGATGGATATCTAAAATATAAAAATAAGGAAGACGCAAGCCTGATGGCTGGCCCGTGTCTGAGCTGTGACGTGAAAATTGTCCCGAAGCCAAAAATAAGTTGGGGCTGTTGGGCTCGGGCTGAAATGCAGGGCTCTAAAGCGCAGCTTGTTGCATTTAAGCAGCAAAAATACACACAAAATGACACCAAAATGGCCATCCTGGCCACACAGTTAAATAAATGATAATATTCAGTGATGTGATATGTGAAATGTGGAGTAACGTCTGGCGCAGTTGCAGCTTGTACTTATTACTAAAACAAGAAAGCAAACGAGTAGCATTAATAGTCATTCATTTTAGTTAACATATGCTATGATAATTTGAACAGATTTGTATTCTTATTGTAAAATAATGGAACATTTAGGTCATGAATATTGTCTCAAAAGTCATGGAAAAGTCATGGAAATTTATTGGTAAAAATGTGTACGAACCCTGTAAACTGATCCCATATCAGTGTCAGAGGAAAACGCAGTGCTTGTAGGATAGTCCACCGCTGGAACCAGACCCAGCAAGACTAGATTCAGGGATTCCCTGTTCATTCTGTGACCCAGTTTCTCACAGTCACTGCTCACAAAGCTCTCGCTGGCCAATGATTACTGAGCTCTGGAGAAGAGACAAAAGGAGAAAGGTTGAATGGTTTTTGATGTCCTTCAATAGACTATTTTAAGTTTGTAAACTTAAAACTGAGGGAAAAAGGGAACAGTGAAAAATAATGGTGCTGCCAACTTTATTAATATGTTTTGGCCAGAATTTTGACTAACAGCATTTTTAATTTTTGAGAAAAAAAGTCTCTTATGCTCACCAAGGCTGCATTTATTCAATAATAAATACAGTAAAAATAGTAATATTGTGAAATATTATTACAATTATAAACAAATGTTTTCTATTTTAATATATTTTAATACATAATTTATTCCTGTGATGGCAAAGCTGAATTTTCAGCATCATTACTCCAGTCTTCAGTGTCACATGATCCTTCAGAAATCATTCTAATATGCTGATTTACTGCTCAAGAATAATTTATTTTTATCAGTTTTGACAGTTGTGTTACTTAATATTTTTGTGAAAACTGAAAGAACAGCATTTAGTTGAAATAGAATCTTTTGTAACATTCTAAATGACCTTTGATCAAGTGTCCTTGCTGTAAAAAAAGTAATTTCTTTCAAAAAAAAAAAAAAAAAAAGACTGACCCCAAACTCTTCAACAGTATAAAGTGGCCTATTTTTTCGTGTTTTTGTTTCTGTAAATGATTTCTAAAAGTGTCATGAATTTTCCATTCTCAGTGGACCGGCCGGTGCGAATCTATGCAGATGGCATCTTCGATCTTTTTCATTCTGGTCATGCTCGTGCCCTGATGCAGGCTAAGAATCTGTTCCCTAACGCCTACCTTATAGTCGGAGGTATAGACACTTTTAATTTACTGATCCAGACTTTGCAATATACTTGTAAAGGCTAAATTCTAACTGATAAAAATATGTATGTGTGTGTTAAGTATGCAGTGATGAACTCACTCACAAGTACAAGGGCTTCACCGTAATGACAGAAGACGAACGGTACGAGGCATTGAGACACTGCCGCTACGTTGATGAGGTTTTGCGTGATGCGCCCTGGACTCTGACCCAAGAGTTTTTAGAAAAACACAAGGTCAGTTATTTGGTCACATCCTAGCACAGTACCGTTCCCATAATTCCCTGCGGTTAACCCTGTGGTTTGTATTCTCTAGATCGACTTTGTGGCGCATGACGACATCCCATACTCCTCTGCTGGATCTGAGGATGTGTACAAGCATATTAAGGAGGCAGGTAAAGAAAAGCGGCTTTCGCTTAAGAGCATGTGTGTGTGTTTCAGACCAGATCTAACGTGTACGAGTGTCTCAGGTATGTTTGTGCCCACTAAAAGGACAGAAGGGATCTCAACATCTGACCTGATCACCCGGATAGTGAGAGACTATGACGTGTACGCTAGACGCAACTTGCAGAGGGGTTACACCGCTAAAGAACTGAATGTCAGTTATATTAATGTAAGTAAATGAAGGATCTAGGATCCTCAAATGTAAGCTTTGGTTTTGCTGACTAGTTGTTCTGTTACCAGACAAACAGATATTTTCTGAAAGATATTGGATCTGATATTTCTGGCATGGAGGCATGGTCTAACATTAATGTACTTAATTGTTGAATTCATTTTCATTTTCTTTTCATAAATAAAATCAGTCGTTCACCTAAAGGGTTATTATCATTAAAACTAAAACTAGAACTTTAAAAATGTATTACTTGAAGTAAAATAAACATGAATTGAAATAACATAAAATATAAAAACTTATTTCTAACTTATTTTAGCTAGTTGTCAGCACAACATTTCTCATTTTTCATTTAGTTTGTTAAATTACTAAAATAACTAAAATTAAAATGTAAAAAAGAATATAGACATTAAAAAAAAAAAATGGGGAAAAAATCAAATTCAAAATATTAACAAAGACAATAATAAGAAAATAAATGATATTAAAATAACATTCGCCTCTGAAACAAACTGATAAAACATATTTTTCTTAACCATTATTCAGAAAAAATTATAGATATGTTTATATATAAAATGTATAATAAATATTTTTATGTATTTTTTGTTTTTGCAAATATCATGAGTTATTAACTTTTTGGGGTCACATCAGTGAACTAAAAAAATAATAATTAAATAATTTAAAAAAAATGTAATTCATAAATAAAACATGCTCATAATTGAAGTGATGTATTTAATTCACTGTATGTACAAACCTAAATTGAAATGTAGTTTTGAAAAAAAGAATAGATTAAAAACAGACCAAAAACAAAGTGATAATAAATAATACAAAGTAATAATTTGATCTGTAAATAGAATCACATTTACATTTTTTCTTCATTAGAACAATGCTGATTTTCTTTGAAGTATGTCATACATAAAGTAAAATGTGTTTTGAATAACATTTAACACTGACATTTAATAAAAAAAGAAAAGCTTGCTGATCTGACTCTGGACAGGAAAAGAAGTACCGTCTGCAGAACCAGGTGGACAGGATGAAAGAGAAGGTGCGGACGGTAGAGGAGAAGTCCAAGCACTTTGTGTATAGAGTGGAAGAGAAGAGCCATGATCTTATTCAGAAGTGGGAGGAGAAATCACGAGAGTTCATTGGGAACTTCCTGGAGCTCTTTGGTCCAGATGGGACATGGGTAAGCAAGGATATAGGGTAGAGTATGTAGAAAAACATGTAGATTGTGTAAAATTGACACATTTTTGAATATGACCTTTTCATTTTTTCAGAAGCAAATGTTTCAGGAACGTAGTGGACGAATGATCCAGGCGTTTTCTCCACACGGCTCACCCAGCAGCAGCCCACCAAGGGACTTTTCCCCATCCCGCTCTCCGTCACCTCCATCCCGCTGGGCCATGCCCCGAACCTCACCGCCCTCGTCCCCGAAGGGCGCCTCGGCCTCCATCAGCAGCATGAGCGAGGGTGACGAGGACGAGAAGTGAGGAATAAACCATCACACACATAATAGACTGCACTTTACCCACAAACACACACACATTAGCAGCGATGACAGGTCAACTACCCTCATGGGAAAATTTTAAGTACTGTACACAGCACAGGGTTGTTGAAGTCCTGTTTAGTTGTGCTGATATTACAGCAAATATTTGAAAGCCATCGCAGCCCTGAACAGCCCTGAACAGAACGGGGGTGGGGGGATTCACTGAATCAATTGCGGCCACTGTTAGTGTCTTTTCATTGCACGTACTATTTGTTGTTTTAGCACCCAAATCAATAAAAAAAAAAGAACATCAACAGGAATGAGCAATATCGGTATTATAATGGTTATTGGCCGATATATTTAAGTGTTCATGCTTGTACAATTGTTTGGTTTCATGTATTTTTACATTTAGAATACCTTTGTCATCATCTTTAAACCCACTTTTAATTTAAAGGGGTGGTTGATTGCGATTTCACTTTTTTAACGTTAGTGTGTAATGTTGCTGTTTAAGCATAAACAATATCTGCAAAGTTGCAGCGCTGAAAGTTCATTAATGCCTACAAAAACAGCTGGTAAGGGACTACAACAAGCTTCTTCCCAGGTCCGTTACGTCACGAACCCAGATAAACCCAGAGAGAACACGCAGCAAAGGGGGCGAGGCCTTGCTGCACTGCTTTAGAGAAGAGGAAGAGAAAACTAGGGGTGCACGTAAAAATCTGTTCATATATGAATCAATCAAGCCTAGAAAAAAAACAGTCAACCACCCCTTTAATAACAATGTTTTTACCAAATTCCAAAATAATGATACATTTTTCAAACTGTACATTATAATTTTGTGATTCTTTTTAATATTTAATTTCAATATCTGACATCAGTTATCGGACATAACAAGAAAAAAATATTGGCTTATTTTAAAGAGGTCATATGATTTCAAGTTTCCCTTTCTCTTTGGAGTGTTACAAGCTCTTTGTGCATAAAGAAGATCTGTAAAGATGCAAAGACTAAAGTCTTTTTAAAATAACACATTATTAAATTAATGTCATAACGCAAAAAATTACTAGGCTAATTGTACTATAAAGTTTCATTTTCTTTATGCAAAATATAATTTCATATTTTTCTTTTGATTTTAGGGTGAAAAATAACCTCGACATGTTCTTGACAGTTTTCATATAGTTTTGAGATTAACCAAATTATTTTCATTCCTTCAGAGCCTTTTCAAATGATTTCTCCATTAGTCCACTTCCAAGAAAACGGGAGTCGTAGCCACAGAAAGTGTGGACAAACCCTCTCTCTAGTGCTTGTGAATGGCAGTAAAAGAAATGCTTTTTGTTTTGACCTTCTCAAACTCCAGACGTCCTTCTCTGGCTGTTTTAGAAAATGAAACAGGGAGGCTACTGCGTGGCACAATTAAAAAAAGAACCAAAGTATCTGACCCCCCCGGCCACAAATGTTCACTCTTTCCTCTAACCGCCCTGGAAGACACTAAAAGGAGGTTCTGTATCTTACGTCTGTAGCTGCACAAAGGAGGAAGGAGCAGAGACTTAATGACACTTACATCATCAGCTCTCCTGCTCTGGAAATGCTAACAAGTATAGAACACTCAGCATCGATGTGATGTTGCCATGGCAACTGAAGCTAGACTAAAGACGGTAGGTCTGTAATGGGTGCAGTGGGACATGGATGGGGCGAGTGCGATTATCTTTTGGCCTTGTATTTTGAGGTATCTCGGGGCTCTTTGCTCGGGTTGCTCCAGTCATCCGCTCCTGGGCCTCCTTGATAGTGTCGCCAAGCAGATTTGTTGAAGACGGGCAGGCGCTCAAATGATTCGCTGGAGAGAGCCTGGTCAGAGAAGATGATGACGGGGTGGATGTCACTCAAAACCTATCGGTGGAACAATGAAATAAAGTGCAAATTGAGAGCTGCTTTTACCTTCAGGTAGATGACGGCATCGGTCCCTACGCCTTCCATCGAGTACAGTTTCAGGTCCCCTTGAAAGTAGCGGGCGTACAGTCTGGATATCGGCAAACCATGTCCAAATCCAGCCTAGATACGCGTGGAGATCAGGTTACAGAGGACAATGCTACATTTAGAACTGTTGTTCAAGGTTAAAGTTGGTTGTTTTTCCTAAAATTGTGTCATTCTTTATTCACACTCATGTTCTTCCAAACTGTTATGACTTTACTTTTTCCAGTGAACACAAAATAAGAAGTTCAAGAAAAAAGAAAAAACAGCACCATGAAATTAGCATAAATAAATACATACAACTTTAGTGTTGTTCTAAACAGTGTAACTTTATATATTATTACTTTATTATATTATATTTTGAATTAGCTTTTATTTTTATATATTTTTTTCTATTTTGTTATTTTATTTGCCCATTTCCGCCACTGAATACAAAATTAAAAAGATAATTGTGACTTTTTCTCACAATTCTGACTTTTTTCTCGTAATTGTGAGATATAAACTAGCAACTGCTAGTTGTAATGTCAGAATTGCGTGATATAAACTGCGAGATAACTCGCAATTCTGACTTTTTTTCTCAGAATTGCATGATATAAACTTGCGTGATATAAACTTGCAATTGCGTGTTCTAAAGTGACAATTGCGAGATATAAACAATTTCGAAATTTTGAGAAAAAAAGTCAGAATTGTGAGTGTATATCTCGCAATTCTGACTTTATTTCTCAGAACTGCGACTTTATACTGTGTCACGCAATACTGAGTTTGTAACACAACTGCGAGTTTATATAGCACAATTCTGACTTCATTTCACAGAATTGCGAGTTTATATCTCACTAATTGTCGGAATTGTGAGTTTCTATCACGCAATTCAGAGAAAAAAGTCAGAATTGTGAGATAAAAATGTCAATTACCTTTTTTTATTCAGAAACGGGCTTCCATATTATTTTCATTTTAGTTTTGGTAATTTCGTTTTGTTTTCTTGACATTTTGTTCTTTTTGTAATTTCTTTTGTCATTTTGAATAAACAAAAGAGTTTATTCAAATATTTATATTTAGCTTGAATTTACACTGATTTCAGTTTTAGTAATTTTAGTACTTCAACTTCAGAGGATTTTTAATAGCTTTTTAGTTTTAGCCAAGTCAGTTTGGGCTAAATAAATAATAATAATGATAATAATAATAATAACATCAACATATTCTTGACAGGTTCCATGAAATTTTGAGTTTAACCAAATTATTTTAGTATAACAGAAAATAACTTAAATTTGGGATTGTTTGGCTTTAGAAGACTGTAAAATCATTTTCAACATGTTTTTTGTGTCCTTTTTGGACAAGCAGAAGAGCAGTCTTAACATTCTTCTAAACATCTTGTTTTGTGTTCCACAGTCTTATAAAAAGTCATACTCGTGCTTTGTAGCCACATGAGGGTGACTAAGTGACAGGAATATTGTTTTTGTTTTTAAGAATATTGTAGCCACACTTCTTTACCAATGGCACTCGTTTGGAGTCCAGACTGGGTGTTGGTGCAGTCGAGTAGGTGTAGTTGAACAGCCTGTCAATCTTCCGTAAAGCCACACCCCCTCCCCTGTCACTGATCTATGATGAAAAACACAGGACGTTTAGGATCAAGGCATGCCACGTGCACGTTTGCAAAGAAAACCGATTTGCAAACAAACTGACCTTCACAGAGAGATCTTCCTTCCCCAGGGTCACTTTTGCTTTTATAAGAGGAAGACCCTCCTTGCTACCCTCGTGGAGCTCATTGGTGGCCCGCATTGCGTTCTGAAAACACAAACACAAGCTGTTACAACAATACGTCAGGGCCTTGGGAAAAACACGAAGATAAGAGCTGCTAAATATTGTATTGCTTAACACATGCTGGTACTCTGATATATCATATTCAAGATGCATCTGCAAGTTTTAGAAACATACCTTAAACAATTCAAACAGCATGTGGAACAAGTGTGAGGGAACGTACACAGCCTGGATGGGTTTTTGAGGAGCCTTTGCTACATAAAAAGTAACATATTCATACTATTTTGGACCTCCAGAAGTTCTACATGGATTAGACATGAAGCAACTCTGAAACAAACATTATATATTGAGTTTTGTGAGAGAATCCGAAGGACATGTACCATTGAATTCCTCTATCTTGAGTTCAGGGGCAGCTGAATAATATTGCTCACACACCATCTTGGCGGTCTCGTATGCATCTGAAAACAACATCACGCTGAATCAGTGGAGCACAAAATCCAAACATAAGATAAGGGTGGTTTTTCTACACTACCATTCAAAAGTTCGGAGTTGGTAGGATTTTTTGAAAGAAGTCTTTTATGCTCACAAAGGCTGCATTTATTTGATCAAAATATAATAAAAACAGTAATATTATGAAATTGTATTGCAATTTCAAATAACTGGTTTCTATTTGAATATATTTTAAAATGTAATTTATTCCTGTGATTGCAAAGCTGAATTTTCAGCAGCCATTACACCAGTCTTCAGTGTCACATGATTCTTCAGAAATCATTCTAATATCCCGGTTTACTGCTCAAGAAACATTTTTATTCAATGTTGAAAACGTTGTGCTGCTTAATATTTTTGTGATACATTTTTCAATATTCCTTGATAAATATAAAAGTTCAAAACAAGAGCATTTATTTAAAATATAAATATTTTTTAATATTATAAACATTAAAAATGTCTTTACTGTCACTTTGGACAATGTGTCCATGCTGAATAAAAATATTTATTTTAAATAACTAAATAAATAAAAATAAAATAAAGTAAAATAAAATAAAATGAAATCTTACAGACCCCAAACTTCTCAATGGTAGTGTATGTGACACTAAATAAATAAAAAATAAAATCTCTAAACCTACCAGTCACCACCTCAGCAACATTGCAGTTGGGATCAATACTGCCAATGTGTTTTGGATGGGCTGGGTTGATGTCATTGCCAAAAAGGAGAGCTGTAATAAAGAGAAAAGCAATTACGATAAAACTATGAAAAGCTATGGTCCTGTAAGTGGTGTCTTTTTTTGCGTGACGTACTGTGCTGGTTGATGAGCATGCGAAAAGAGATTTGGTTGGTGTAGAAGCGGTCCAAAAAGTACTGGATGTTGGAGCTGACGAATGGATCGAAACTAAACTTCTCTTTATATTCAATTACACCTTGGGCCATAGTTGGGACCACATCATTGTGTCTATTCCTGATCTCAATGAGAGTCTCCAGAAAGCTATAAAAATGTTGATATGGGGAACAAAAAGTGAATTAAACAAATTTTGTAGATCTTAAAGAGATAAATATAAACAGGTTTATAAACAGGTTATAAACAGTTTTTAAATAAATATTACAATACTGAAATTCTATCTGAGATCGATAAGCAGATGATTATTTTCATATTATGGTCAATAATAAAACCACATTTTATTTTGCCTAAAAATAAAACACTAAAAACTAGATTAAAACTACA